ACAAGATCAATCAAAGTTCGATTTAAACGTTCAGCAACACCGTTTTGTTCAGGGGTGTACGCCGTTGTGAGTTGGTGCTGCGTACCGTTTAAATCTAAATGCGACTTGAATTCCGTCGACAAGTACTCTCCCCCTCGATCAGTGCGAAGCACCTTTACTTTGCGACCAGTGTGGGTTTGAGCCAACTTTTCATACAACTTGTATTTTGCAAACGCCTCAGATTTATTTCTCATCGTGTACACAACTACCCAGTTCGAGTGATCATCTACAAATGTAATGAAGTATCTCGAACCACCAATGGACTGTACTTCGAGCGGACCGCAAACGTCAGAATGTACCAAGTCAAGACAGTTCTGTGCTCGAGACGATGATCGCTGTTTTGGGATTACTGATCGCGTTGCTTTGCCAAACACACACGCAGGACAAATGGGAGAGTGATTGTCAGACTTCGGATTCATTGCACTGATCACATCGCTTTGACGAACGTTGATGCCACTTACCACATTATTGTGAATCATTGATGCGATTCCTTGTACATTAACATGGGCCATGCGTTCATGTAGCGTCTGCAGGGTAACTACGTGAGCAGAAAAAGTTTCATTCATGACGTCAAGTATGTACAAATCCCCAACTTGACTCGCTGTAGCCTCCCTCCCTCCCTCCTCCCTCCCTCCCTCCTGCCTCTCTCTTCGCCTCCTCCCTCCCTCTGCCCCTTCAACCACCCCCGCCATGACGGACGCCGTCCCTCGCAAACCGCGCAACACGCGCCTCACAGCCTACTACGGCCTCTCAACGCCCGCCGCCACCCCGTCCTCGCCACCAGCCCCGATCCCGTCTGGCCGCGCGGAGGCGCTCGCCCACGCCGCCCACCTGACGCGAACCCTATCTTTGCCTGCTCTACTTCAGCACAGCGCCCGCCTACGCCGCACCTCCGAGTCTCTTGAGCGCGACCTGCACGTCTCCACGCGCCGCTACTACGCCCACCTGTCGTCCGCCTCGGACATCTCGCGCGCGGCGATCGAGCAGGCATCGTCGCTGCGGCCCGCGTGCGCGGCCGTGTCGGACGCCGCGGCGCTTGCGCGCGCCGTCGCCGTGCGCCTGCAGGACGCGCGCGCGCGCGTCGACGCGCTGGAGGGCGCGCGCCGCGCCGCTCTGCTGCGCGACGCCGCGAGCCGTCTAGCGGCGGGGCTCATGCCGGCGTACCGGGAGCTGGCCGACCTATGCACAGACCCCGCCGCCGCGAGGGACCGGCTGTTTCTGATGGCGAGGCGAGCGGCCGTGGTCGGCCCGGCTGTGGAGACGCTCGCGGCAACGGGCGGGGGCGACCGCTTTGCGGACGCGGCGCGGGACCTGGCCGCCGCGAAAGAGGCTGTCGCCGACGAACTGGCGCGTCGCGGGGAGAAGGATGACCCGTATGGGCTGCCCGTGCCTGACGCCTTGCAGCTGCGGAGGCTGCTGGGCGAGGAGCGCCATGTCTTGCTGGAGGCGTTTTACAAGGCGTTTGGAAGGCAGCTGTGCCGGCGCCGACCGGCTGAAGCAGCGAGGGCGTCGGCCGGACAGGGCGCGCTGGCGGAGGCGGAGCTGTGCGTGCGTTTTGCGGCAGATCAGACTGTGCCGGCGGCGTTTGGGGTTGGCGATCGCTTCGCGGAGGTGTTTGCTGTGCGCGAGGACGACGGGCAGGCGTGGCAGGCGTTTGCTGTTTGGCTGAGCGACGTGCTAGACGAGTGCGTCGCGGCGAGGGCACGGGGCGCTACACGAGGGCGTGACGGCAAGGCGTGGGGCGCCGCGGACGATGTGCGCAGCTATCTGGCTGCCATTGGCGGCATGCTCAAGGCGAGCGCGGCTGCGGCTGCGGCGCGGCAAGGCGAAGGCGCGGATGCTGCCACGCGAACAGCAGCGACGCATGTCAACGAAGTGGTGCAGGCTATGGGGACGGAGCTGCGTACCGGGGCGCAGGACGCGGTGATCGCGAGCACAGAGTCGGCGTGGCAGCGAGTCGTGCGCGACATCCTGTCCGGGGCCCGCGGTGCGAACGCGGTGGAGGAGCTGCTGCGTCAGGTGAAGGAGAGGCGGCGGAAGAACGAGGAGGTTGGCGCGGGCGAGGCGACGGAGGGGGAGCACAGGGTGCTGCGCGACGTGGCGGCATTTGCAAGACGGGAGGCGGAGCTGGATCAGGGCGTCGCGCAGGCCGCTCGCGCGGGGATGCTAGTGCGAGAGGTCGGGCGGAGAGCTCGGGGGGAGATCGGGGCGGAGTTTCAGCAAGCGAGCGCGCGGCAGCTCTGCTCGGTTCGGGAGCAGGTGTTGGAGCGCGTGCACGACGTTTTGCATGCGCGCTTGCAATCGATTGAGCAAGCAGACGGGCAGGAGGGTGGTGCGGATGGATCGCAGGCGGTGTCGGACGCGGTGGCGATCCTGCAGGAAGCCGGGAAGGTCGGGGAGGAATTGGACGTGAGCATGCTGCGGATGCAGGCGGCCGAAGACGCGTTCCTCGGGGTGGATATGGGGTTGATCAAGGGGGTGCGCGACGTGTGGACGGAGATGGTACGGCGCGCGTCAATCTCCCGCGCTCGCGGCGCGCGCGCGTTGGAGCTGGACGCGTTGGAGCTGGGGCGGCAGCTGGGGACGGACGGGGCGTTCGCGGCGGTGGGCGCCGCGGCTTTGGAGCGGTGCGCGGAGGGGGGCTCGGGGCTGGGGCGTGCGCAGCTGGTGGCGGGGGTGGGACGACGCGGGGGTGCTCGGGAGTAAAGATGTCGGAGAGTGGTTTACACGACGGTGCCGCCCTTCCTGCGGGAGTTCTCGGTGCGGATGCGGTCGCGGGCGTCGAGGCGGAAGAGGCGCTTCATGTCGGGCTCGGGCATGCGGCGGAAGAGCTCGTCGTAGCCGCCGCGGGCGTAGTGCGCGCTCGCCTCGCGCAGCAGATCCTCGCGGGTCGGCTGCGGGTGCTGCACGCGCCACAGCCAGTCGGGGTAGGCGGCGTCGTCCTGCGAAGGGGGGATGCGGGTGGCGGAGGCGTGAGTGGGAGAGACGGGGGTGCGCGGCGGAGGGAAGGGCGCGGAGGGAAGGGCTCGGGAGGGAAGGGGACGTACCAGTTCCTTCGGGGCGGCGGTGGGGTCTTTGTAAATGTTGAGGGCGGCAAAGCCATCGTGCATGCGTCGGCGCGGAATGGCGGAGACGGGGCGCATGTGCGTGGAAAGAGCGCGCCACAAGGCCGGCGACATGGCGGAGGTGGGGGAAGCAGAGGGCGACGAG